GAAACACCAGATGGCTTTAAGACTGATCCACCACTGGCCAAGGCTGAGCTCATCAGCGATGGTGGAAGCACCTCTAGGATAACATGTTTGGGAAGGGAGAAAACACCTACCATGGAACAGCAGCCAGAACAGAGAGATGTGAGAGAAACAACCCTGCAGACACTCAGTGAAGAGGGGAGGTAGGTGTTCCAGGTGACCCCATAAAAGCTCATGCTGGATCAGGCTCTGTCAGGACCTGTGGCCATGTGAGTGACAGGCTGGTGGTAGCACACCAGGAAGGACTTGTGAAGAACTGTAGCCCATGTGAAGAACTCACATTGGAGAAGTTTATGGACAACTGTTGCCCATGGAAGTGACCCCATGCTGGCACAGGGGAAGAGTGTAAGAGTTCCTTCTCCTAAGGACAAAAGAACTGCAGAGACATATGTTGAACTGACCACAATTCCCATTCCCTGTTCCTTTGGAGGGGAGAAAATCAGGACAGAAATTGAGCCAGAGAAGGGAGGGGTGGGGGAGAAGGTGGTTTTAGATTTTATGTTTATTTCTCATTACCCTACTCTGACTGGATTGCAATAAATCAAATTAATTTCCCCAATCTGAGTTAGTTTTTCCCATGAGGGTAATTGGTGAGTGATCTTTCCTGTCCTTATCTAGAACCAGGAGCCTCTTATATTTTCTCTCCTCTTGTCAAGATGAAAAACGAGGGATGGGACCACCATGTTATTTAAGATGATTTATTGCTCAAGTAAGCTCGATAACGTATCGGTCTCAAAGGCATGAGATTTAGAGAGGAGCAACAAGTTAGCCATAGCTCAAGGTAATCACAGGTTTCTTCTTCATACAGCAATATATAACATTTTGGTCCAATAGACAGCTGACACAAAACTTGTTTCTACTTATTAGCCCATCACCTTTGCTTAATTTTGCTGCACTGCGTCTGTCTCTTAGCCAATAAACTGACAGTCACGTACTCATACACACACCTCTATTACAGCTTCTAGATCCCTGCCTACTCTATAAGTCACATTATTGCAGCTCAGACCTCACACTATTTTACCTAATATTTCTTACTTACTCAGGACATATTCTTACTTATAACTGTAGGAACATAAGTTTATGATTTTTCTATTTAATGTTTGTGTACCTAAATCATTATATTAACCCAAGCTCTTTCTAAAGCTGCAGATTGAACCCTTCAGCATCTGTGGAAGTTTCTATTTTTCCATTTCCTACATCCTCTGTCCAGCTGAGGAGGGGGAGTAATGGAACAGCTTTGGTGGGCATCTGGCATCCAGCCAGTGTCAAAGCACCATACTCTTCTTTCAGGTGTTTATCTATGTTGGTAAAATTCATCTAAGCCTTTTCCTCTCTGCAATGAAGAGTCCCAGCTCTCTCAGCCTTTCCTTATAGGAGAGATGCTCCTGTAAGAGAGTTCATTCATCCTCTTTTTGTCCCTTCATTGGATTCTCTCCAGCATTTCCATAGCCCTCTTGTACTGGGGAGTTTATAACAGGAACCAGTACTCCAGGAGCACCCGCACCCGTGTTGAACGGAGAAGAACAGTCCTCTTCCTGGACCTTCCACTACTACCCAGAACACTGTTGGCTTTCTTTGAGGCAAGATTACTGGCTCATTGTCAACTCAGTGTCCAGCAGCAGGACAACCCAGGCCTTCTTCTGCAAAAGGGCTTTACAGCTGAGGGATGCTCACCACATACTGATGCACAGGGTTGTTTCTTTCCACATGCAGGACTTTGCCCTTCCCCATGCTGAACTGCAGGAGGTTCTTGTCAGGCCACTTTTTCAGCCTGTCAAAGTTCCTCTGAAAGGCAGCATCCACAGTATTGTAAGAATGATCAAGTGCTCCTAGGTAAACAGGGACAGCACAAATGTATTTCTTCCTGAGAGAGCAATGGAAGTTTTTTATACAAAATGGCATTAAAGGATCCTGTCTGCTTGATTTAATCCAGTGTGCTTTTCAGTCTTGTGACCCATGGAGCCTAAAACACTGAAAGACTCAAGTGTTACTATGGAAACCCATTATGATTATCATATTCTCTGTCATGGGACAAAAACCAGGTTTTCTGGGAGTAATTGAAAGTGACTGATGAGGGCTGGGAAGTATCACACACAGCACCCAATAAAAGAAAAATCCCTAAATGCAGTGGCACATCCTGTAATGTGTACTGGTGAGACTAAAATATTCATAGAATCATGAATTCATAGGTTGGTTTAGGTGAGAAGGGACATTTAAAAGATCATCCAATCCAACCCCTTCAACTATCAGGTGTGTGGAGAGGATAAGGAAGTTGAATTAAAAAAAAACCAAAAAACACAAAACTTTAAACCTTTTTTTTTTAATGTTCATTTAAAAAACACATTGGAGTGAAGTGAAGCAGCCTGACCTTGTCTGAGCTGAAAGACCACGCACACACTTCCAGATGGGTTATAAGTTTTATTTAAAGAACACATTATGGAAAATGGGTGAAAGAGATGCTAGTCTGAATCTTCTGAAACAGATTTTGAGTAGCTGTGGTCATGGCAAAGATCCATCTTCATATTTTTCAAAAGGCATCAGCATCCAATAATCTTTCATCTGGATTGCTTTGAAGTTTGCAAATCTGTTCAAAAAGAAAACCATTTTCACAGTGGCACAGGGAAAAGACACAGTGGTACCCATAGGCCATGGAGGAGGGATGTCACAGTACTTCCTCTGGGAAAAAATGTCGATAGAAATGTGCTTAAAAAGGCCATGACTCTTTCCAGAAAGGGAGCACTGTTCAGAGGGATGCCATAGGAGTCAAAACCTTGCAGAGTTTAGATGTGCCAAGAAAAGTGCTGGTTGGTGGTCTCCAGCTGTGGATGAGTATTCATCACCAGTCCTGAGGAAACATGGGCCTTAGTGAGCCAGTTGTTGAGGCGAGTGCTTAGAAATATGTTCTTGGTATAGGATTCTACTGAGAAAATGCAAGAGATCTTGTCTCAGACCTGTGTCTTAGGAGAAAATTCTGCCCCTGAAGTATCTGTTGATTATTGCCTTACTCTGTTCTACAGATATGCAGGAGGTCCCAGGAGGGCCAGAGCTGGGCAGGAGTGCCAGGGCCAGAGCTGAGGGTCAGGGCAAGGCCAGACTCCAGAGGGGCCCATGTACAGGATCCATCCTGTGACTGCCATGGGTGGTGAAGGGGCCTGGCCAGCTCAGGAGAACAAGGGTAGCTCAGGCCAGACGCAGGCACTGAGAGGGCAGAGCTGGGACAGACCTGGGCTGTCATAGCGCCCCTGGCAGGGACCAAGGCAGAGCTGAGCCCATGGTTGAATTGGGCCTAGGTGGTCTTGGTCCTGGTCCTCCCTGTCCTGGGGTTACGTGCTGACTCTGCTCTGACTCCCACAGACTCTGTCTGAGGTAGAAGTGCACTTACAGCTGGGTTGTGGGGCCTCAGGAAAGCTGCTCTGTCCTGGGGCAAGACCAGGCAGAACAAACCCTGTTGTGTGTGTTTTGCCACCACTCCCTGTCCCGGGGCTGGCTTCACCTGATGGGTGGGCTCCAGCGTGGGGCCTGCTGTAGCTGATCCCACTGCTACCCCGGGAACACCTCAGGAGCACCGAGGAGCACAGGTGAGCCAGGCCAGAGGCTGTGCTGCAGGGGGACAGGGCTGCATGGGGAAGTTGTCTCTGCTGCCCGTGACCCAGCACACTGCCCGCAGCCCCTGGATCAGGTGATGGAGGAGAGGAGCAGTGGAGTAGGGAATGTAGGCCATTCCAAGGCTATTAGCCCATTTCTAATTCCTGCCATTCTTTGGCTTGTGAGCCTTCTTGCCCTGCACAGCTTCACACAAAGCAAGAGGACTCTTCCCCAAGAACATGTGGAAATGCTGACCTCCTCAGGTCGTGTCTTCCCACATGCCTGCAGTTCTCTTCTACGGAACAGCAGTTTTCAGGAGTCCTGATTGTATAATGTGCTTTAGGTCCAACTGGTATTTCTGAGACGAGACGCAGCCAGGCAAGGACTGACAGCCTTTGGCAGTGGAATAACTAGGAATGTCTCCCTTCATGGATGAAAGGCTGGATATGAATTGTAAATGTGCTCTTGCAGCCCAGAAAGCCAACTGCTTCCTGATTCTGCCCCTCTACACTGAAACCCCATCTCAAATACTGCCTCCAGCTTAGAGTCCTCAGCAGAGTAAGGACATGGACCTTTTGGAGCAAGCCTAGAGGAGGCCACAAAAATTATCTGAGGTCAGGAGCACTTCTCTTATGAGGACAGGCTAAGACAATTGGGCTTGTTCAGTCTGGAGAAGACAAGGCTTTAAGGAGACTTTGTTGCAGTCTTTCAGTATGTAAAGAGAGCTTAAAATAAATTTTTTGGCGGGGTTTGTTGTGATAGGGCAGGGGAAACAGTTTTAAACTAGAAGAGGGTAGATTCAGACTAACTATGAAGAAATTTTTTTGCAAAGAGGATGGTTATACAGAGGAATATGTTGCCCAGAGAGAGTGTAGATCCTTGTATGTGTTCTAGGTCAGGTTGTGTGGGGCTTTGAACCTGGTCAAGTGGACAGTGTCATTACTCATTGTAGGGAGATTGGACCAGGAGACATTTAAAAGACCTTTCCAACCCAAAATTCTATGAAATTCTGTGACACCTCAGTGTGTGGAAGCACTGCTGGAAAGAAGAATCATTGCAATTTGTCCCACCCCCCAGTGCCTCTAGGAATGATGAAGGGTTTCCCTGTGCTCCTCAGCCAATGGCTTTTCTGCTCAACACTCAGTGCACAAATGGAAGACAACTAAAGGACACAGGCAAGGTTGCAGCAAGTTTTTAATGTACACAAAGATGAAAATTAGGTCATTCTAAGTACAGGCTCCAAGTATGAAAAGGAGCACAAACAGCCAAGAATGTCTTCCCTCTCCTGCTCCTGTGGCAGAGTTATCACAGGGAATCTTTTGACTTGTCCAGCAACAGGACACAGTCCAGCATGCCCCTGCACAGTGGTTTCTGGGGTCCTCACAGCAGATTTTGAAGGAAGCACAAGAGAACAAAGGCAAGAGTGAGAAAGGGTGAGAGTGAAAGAGAGGAGAGGTAGACATTGGCCAAATTTTCAGAGATCCCAGTATCCGCTCCCTCAGGTTGATCTCTTCAAGTTTTCCCTGGCCAGGCAAATCAGTGATGATCAGCTACTGTTAAAACAATGACACAAAGGTTTGGTCCTCTGTCCAGCTTCATATTCTGAGTTCCTTGGGGTCATTATCTGAGGACATTGACAGCAGCTTTAGCGGGGACGACATCTGCTGCCACCGTAGCAGTTGGTGATGCTGGAGATGTCAAAGCCCCCAGAGTTGATGGGCACTCCCTGAGAGCTGAGGATGCTGCCAACGGCAGCGGAGGTGGAGGATCCCACGGCAGTGTTCTGTGGGAAGGAGCTGAGGATGGGGCCGGGCAGGGTCACCACCACGGGCGAGGGTTCAATGATGACGGTGGAGTCCTGGCACTGCCTGACACAGGGCTCGTTGCAGCTGCTGCCCAGCGGGGTGGGGCCGCAGGGCTGGCAGGGCTGGCACTTCTCTATGCAGGACATGTCTTGGGGCATGAGGAGCACCTGGAGAGAGGGCAGGGAAAAAGCAAAATATAAAGACACATGAGGAGCAGCCTGTAACCACATCAGGAGTCAAATAACATGCAGGGCCAGGAGGTGGATGCTCTGCAGAGATGTATGAGGGCTCGTTGGCCTCATCCTGCCAGAGCGTAAAAAGAATCACCAGCTCCTATGCAGCCACTGCCCACACTCCAAGTCCAAATAACAACTGATCACAGTCCCAGCCTCCCTACACTTCAAACCTTCTCCCCTTTTCTCTCTCCCATGACAAATAACCCCAAAAGCCATCATAGAAGATAGCTGCAATCAGCTGAGAGGTCCATTGAGGTAAGCTCTCCTTTTAGACAAAGCAGAGGAGAAAGGGCTCACCTGACTCCCAAGGAGAAAGAGGCAAGAGAAGGGGATGACAGCGCAAAGAGCTGGGCTGGCTTTTATCATAGACCTTTACTTCCCCAGGCTGGCAGAAGTATCCCTTCTAGAGGTGATAATTTTCTGACAAATTCATCTTGAATGCAAAACATCTCATTTAATGCTGTGAGCTGTGGTTTGGCTTCTTAAATGGCTGTGTTTTCACTTCCTGCTTCATTTCTGGCACATTCCTCAATGAAGGCATCTTTTACATGACAAGATGAGAGGCCCAAGCATTTCTGGCTCAAAACACATGAGTGTCAGCACAGGACTCAAGCCAGATGCTGCAGGAGCCCATTAAAATGAAATTATGTCTGTCTGGGTCACTCCATTGGGATCTTAGGGGCCGTGTCTCAAAGAAGTGGCCTTGCTCCTGGGTTTGACTGTATCTCACCAAACACAGAGCCCAGGACAATTCAGGTGTCTGGGTTTGCCTTCTCCTGTCATGCACCAGGGATGTGGAAAGGGAGAAAAAATGTGGAAGGTTTTATTTAGCTGTCAGAAAGAAAGGCAAGTGACACAATAAAGGGGCTTCCATAAGGACAAAGGTGACAAAAGGAAGAGTTAGGAAAATGTAGGACTGCTGCTGAATGAGACAAGGACCCTGGTGACACAGGATGGAGAAAAAGCTAAGGTGTTGAAGGCCTTTGCCTCAGTCCTTATTAGCAAGACTGGCCTTAAGGAATCCCATATGTAGACTGGGGGTAAAGTCAGGATCAGGAAACACACTCCCTTGATGGGGCGAGATCAGGTCAGTGAATCCTTAGCAAACTGCACATATTTAGGTCCTGTTGGAATGTGCACGCAAGCCGTAAGGGAACTGGCTCCTGTCATTGCCAGGTCACTAATTGTCTGGCCTACCAGGCCCAAAGAGTTGTGGCCATTGCTCCAAACCCCAGCTGGAAGACAACTCTGGGGTCTCTCAGAGATCAGCGCTAGGACAACCAGTGTTGCATGTGACCATGAATGTCATGATTAGTGGATAACTCTCCACAAGTTTCGAAGAGACATTGAACAACAAAGAACAGGCAGTGAATTGGCCTCTGCTGCCCAAGTTGTCCCCAGAAAATCCTGGAACCACTTGTGCAAAGGAAACAGGAGATACAGACTAGACTCTGGAAGTTCTCTGCAACAGGAGACTAGGCTATGAGCAGCTGCTGGAACATGGGACTCTCAGCCTCATCACTGCCACCTGCAGAAAATCCTTGGCTGCCGTTTCCAGCTCCTGAGCAGGGAGAGTGCTCGGGGAAGCTGCTCCATCTCCTGGTTCAGGGCTCTCTTGCTCCCTCAGGCTGCAGCTGGCGCTGTACCGGCTGATTCTCGCCGGGATGTCCTTGCTGGAGGAGGGGAAGGGTTCGTTTGCCGGAAGACCAAACTGAGCCCGTGCGGAGAGAGACCGGGCAAGAGCCCGAGAGCCACCGGTGCAGGGCTCAGGCCCGGTGCGGAGCTGAGGGCGAAGGAGAGAGAGGAGAGAAAAGGAGGCGGCACAGTCAGAGCACAGGGCCGGGGCTGAGGGGACAGCGATGCTCAGCGGGCAGAGCGGCGGGATGCGGTGGTGCCGGGGCGCCGCGCTGGCTGCGCTGGCCGCGGTGCTGCTCGGTGAGCGGGGTCGGGCTGGGGCTACCCCGCAGGTCCCCGAAAGTTATTGTCCTCTTTGGCTTCTTCACCGACCTCTGCCCCATAACTGTCCTCGAGTCCATCTTTTCCTCTGCACCATTCCCTATTCCCTCAGAAAACTCATCCCTCTCTTCTTTGTCCAGTCATTGCTATACCTTCCTTTTCTCTGTGTCTTTTTGCATATTAGATGTTGTTGTTCTTGTTATTATTATTATTATTATTATTATTATTATTATTATTATTATTATTATTATACATTTCCGTCCCTGCACATGCTGGCACCCTCTGCAAACTACAGTCCTCATCTTGTCTGTATAGTCCTGATTGCTTCTGCAGAATTTTGTTCTGGCAGAGGTGGGGAGAATGTAGGACTTGAGGTTTGTCCTTTTTTTCTCCCCATCAGTAGCTTCAGGCAAAGCCCAGGTACACCAGGAGCCGTCGCTGGAGACCACCGAGGACAGCGGCATCAACATCACCTGCTCACACCCCAAAAAACAGATGGGGGATTTCATCCATTTCTACCGTCAGCTGCCGGGCCGAGGACCCGAACACCTCGCGCTCATCGCTAGAGGATCCAAGGTTCTGCCGGACATCGCAGGAGAGCTCTGGGTGTCCGAGGACGGGCGCTCGAGCG